CACACACAGCCAAAGCAAGGTCCTGGTGCATGTGTATATATAATACTCCTGGAAAAGTAGCCAGTATCTATGGTTAGAGTTTAAGCCAGTGTTTAGGTTCCACATTTCTACTAAACTCTTCTTCCTTTTGTACTTCTCTCTCTCTTTCCTCCGTTCTTCCATCTCCCCAGTGTCATGTTGCTAGATGCAGGTCGTATAGTGGAGTACAACCCTCCGGCCCAGCTACTAGGAGACAAGAAGAGTAGTTTCTACGCTATGGCCAAGGATGCTAACCTCGTGTGACCTGAAGAAAGACTGTAAAAACTCGAAGAAAAGTCTTCTGATATCATTGTAGTGTGTTGGGTGTGTCATTTTATGCAAAACAGCAACTGAACTCACCCCCAGGTTTATAACTGCTGCATCTTATGCAAGTTAATAACTCAGTGTGTAATCATTATTTATTGCGAATACACGTGTGATTTTGATGTAGTGAATGAACAACACCTTTTGTTATTAGTTTATAGCTATAGACTCCAAGGAGGTTACATCCTCAGTCGATTAAATAACTGACTGGGTCGTGAAAAACAGACCCAACATCGTAGCCCAAGGACTGTATAATACAGATTTTTGTCGCTGCACTTGATCGGCATGTTTTATACTGCGCATGCGTTAACGTCCTACCGACGACCCCGCCTTCTTTGCAATCGGAAGCAGATGTCTTCTGACGCCTCTTCGAGCGCCGAAGAAGAACACGAAGACTCCGAGGAAAGATTACGAGGTAACGCAAAACCACGTCCATACTACTAGCTGTTCTTTGCGTAGTGTTCCAGGCTAAGGTGATTGACCAGGTTCAACCCCAGAAGTCATATGAAGACGATGATGACGAAGGTGCTTGCCTAAAAAGGATAAAGCTCGATACAACAGGAGTGCATAAGGTCCAGGAAAACGATGAATACCACAGAGAGAAAGATGCTCTTGAGATTCAGAGACGCCACAAGCAGTTTATTGACACGCAGGCAAAAAAGGCAGAGCAGTACGCGAAGAAGATGATGCAGCTGGTGACTGTTTCTTCAAAGAGACCAGTGGTGGACAGTGTTACACAGAGACCACCTGGGATGGAGGGCAAGGGACCCAGAGTTGTTCCACAATCAGTCAAGAACCATCGAAAAAGATTAAAGAAGAAAGCAAGAAAACAATAATAATAATATAATATCATTGGTGTACATCAATAAAATTAGCTTGCATGTTTAGTCATATTATTATTGCTAAGAAAGTAAATGCATAACAGTGTGTTACTAGTTTAAGGTGACTTGATGAAGAGATCCACCCCATCAGAATACTCTGTACTACTCACCAAGCTCTTGAGATGTCCCATAGTGTTAAAGCCAGCACAGTCAGGTATCAGATTGCACAGAAATTTCAGTTGACCAACGTCCTTTGTCCAGGTGGGAGATCGAAGTATATCGCTGCCCGTAACATCAGTGTCCTTGTAAACGGTGTAAGACCCACTTGGTTCGAGGTACTTGTTCATCAAGTTCTTCGTGATTTCAACTAAATCGCCCGTCGGAGTTGTAGGGTAATATTTGATGGTGTAGCTGAATTTCTGTTCCAGCAAGAACCGCTCTGATTCATAGTAATCACGATCAAATGTCACACCCTTTCGTACTGCCTCATTGACAAGGCCGATGAAGAGCGCCCATCTTTCCTTGTAATAGTCCTTGACAAGACCAGCCCACTCTTTGCTCGCGTAATCCTCTAATTCCTGGTGGGGGCCCCACATTGTAACCTGATTGCGAGCGTTGAACTCGGCATTATTCACAGCTTCTACAGGAGATGTGGAAGGAACCGATGCCCTGGCATTGGCAATCCAATGACCCAGAAGAAAATTCGTATTCGTTCCCAAGAGCTCGTCGAGATCGTCGCACAGGGCGAGCATCGCGGAACTAATCAGGTCCAACTGTACCGATACGTCCACTTTCTCCTGGACATATCTGTCGTACATAGCGCTGTACATAGCGTGCATGTCGACAAAGAGATTCACCAACATCTGGCGCCCAAAGTCGACCAGGTCGTACTGCAGTGGCTGAACAGATGGCTCTAAGTCTCCAGATAGTACCCCACTCGACAGGTAGTACCACGCAGCCGTGATGTTCGTGGCACTCTGATCTGAATAGTAAGACATTGAAAAATCCCGGTGCCTTTTCAACCATGCTTCTGATGTCCCCACTCCAATGGAACTGGTAGGCTCCGTATAACAAATTCAGCCACGTTGCTTTTAGTTCTGGCAGTAGATATGGTGCGTTGTATCGACGAACGCCATACGCAGACACCCATGAGGGAAGGTCGGTGACCGGCTCAGATCTCCAACTCATTTCACCCTGTAAGGTAGACATAGTAGACATGGGGTCCCATTATGAGTGACACATTACAACAGATTCACACGTACCATCAAGTCATACACCACTGGATTGTGCTCAATAGCCTCAGGGGTTATCCCCACTCCGACCATTGTACTCCCGGGAGCACGGAGTGCTTCCAGTGGAGCAGTGGCTATGGTGGTCAGGTTACCATATATACCCCTCGTTCCTCCATAGTTATGGAGTAAACACCACACAAAGGGCTTCCCAAAGTAGGACTGGGTTTTGTTCCATAATGGTGTCTGTTCGCTGTTCAGGTCCAGTATTATCATCTTGTCATCTGGAACACCTGACAGGAATGCTTCTATCCGTTCATTGCTCCAGAAATCTGTGTCATTACCAAGTAATACATGTATGTGCCCTTTGTATGATAAGCAAATGACGAACCTGAGTGAAAAAGCCAGCCTTGCATTAAGAATATAGCATCTACGTCCACAGAACTCATCGTCTGAAAGATGGCCTTGTTCACATCGGCCAGGTATGTCAAGTCAGTGCTGATGGGGTTCATTTCATTATAGGTGTCGCAGTTGTAAATGTTATCAGTTCCAAACTCGTCTATAAGCATCTGATAATACTGTATCCCGAGCCTCAAGAATAGTGGATCATTGGGCTGCAGAAGGTAGTCATCAGAGTAAGTCGAATTGAAGCCAGACCAGCCGTTGTTTCGTGTGAAATGGGCATTCGGGTATAGGTTCTTCAGCTCAGCCGGAACGTGACCAGCGAAACCAGGAAGAACGTTGATCATCCCGAATTCCCGGATTCTAGCCATGATCTTCTTTTGAAGGGTGGCCTGGGACTGGATCCAGCCGTCGTCCAGCGGGCCACCCCATCTGCGGAGGTTTCCCATTCTCTGCCACGTCAGAAAAGCCGGACCCGAGAACATGGCCTCGATGTCCGTCTCGTTTATTCCGAGAGACAAATAGAACTTTTGCCACACGTACTCCTGTCCGGTAAAAGAGAGAATGAGGTTGAGACCATTCATAGCCATCCAGTCAATCTCTCGCTCCCAGCGGGTGAAGTTCCACCATGCCATGGAGTAAGACACTGTACACACGTTCAGGTAATACCTGCATTTGAGCAAAGCAACCTTGACGGCGTTCATGTAAATTACAAGATAATCTACTTTCGACGACTTGCAGTGCACAGTGCTGGGTTTTACCTGTATTTTACAGGCGAAACCATCTTCAGAAACCCCGGTCGGGGGAGCGGCTGCGGAAGATTGAGCTGGTCTCCGCTCCCGCCGCGGCCCCAGCTGATAGAGCAATCGCAATCATACTTCAGGTAGAAGTTGAGTGCCGAGGCCAATGCCACGCCGTTGTTACCGCGCAGGACAGGTTTTTTGGCGGTCTCCTCGTAGTCGATCTCGAAGATATCGCGTCCGGTGGAAGGATCCGGCTGTATGACCTCATAAACAATCTGCGAGACGTACTTTTCTCCAAGTACGCGCGCCACTAGCCCTCCAATGGCCTGTAAAGGATCCCCCGCCGCCGATGGTCTCTGTAGGCCGTAAGCAGTAGCAGCAAACAGTAGAAACAGCGCGATGAACCGGAGTTCTGGTGCCATCATAAACGTCGGTCCAACTTGCACACTCGCTTGTTATGTGTGGTGTGTGATTGGGGGCGGGCGGCGCGGCCGTCACGTGTGTAGAAGCCCCGCCCCCTGCACCCCACGCGCGCGCGAAGATAAAAATGAGACCTACTCTCTTCTTGTGTCTTTTTGCGGGGCTCAGCTGCTGTGCAGGTAAACTGCAGTACGGGCCTCTTCCGAGAGCAGGAGCGAGCCCTGTTAACGTCGACCCGGTGCTGGACTGCGAACTCAAGACGTTGGCCTGGGAATACGCACAGAAGTTGCTCCCGCGACAGCCAGAAGATTTCAAGAGCGTCTACGACGCGTTGCAACTCCAGAACTGCAAGCCGCCCGACGAACGAAAACCCAAAAACTACGAAGTGGTCCCCTTCTCTCACAGCATCTCTCTCAGCACCGAAAACCTCACGATCTACGTCGACGCCGACCGCGGAAATGACGCCAACCCTGGAACACTGACGAGTCCGGTGAAGACTGTGATGCAGGCCGTGAAGCTGTCGAGGTTGAATCGCAAGAACCAGGAGCAGGTGGTAATCTACCTGAGAGGCGGAAACTACTTCTTCTCGCAGACCATAGAGCTGGGTCCAGAGGACAGCAACATCGTCATAGCAGGATATGATGGAGAGGCAGCGACTGTCATTGGTGGCAGAGACTACCAGTTTGACTGGGTGAAGATGGTGGATGTGATGGGGCCCATCATGCCTGGAGTGAGTGCAATTTATGGTACTGTGTCGGTTGGTGGAGAGAGCAATGGAGTTGCTTGGTTCTATGGAAAAGTAGACAACGCAAGTGCCTGTCAGGCAGCGTGCACCCAAAACGCTAGTTGTTTTGCCTTCACTTGGCACGATCAAACCACCGGTACTTTTGCAAACGACTGCTACTTTCGTGTTGATGGTATATGGGTGCCCACTCCACAGAGCGGACACTACAGTGGGAAAAAACTGAAGATATATTCGGCCGACCTAAGCAGCCAGAACCCAACACCGTTCAACACTCTCTTTATCGGGGGTCGAAGAGCAATTCGAGCACGGTATCCTGACGGAAATCCCGAGACCATGGGACTGCACACAATCCCAACTGGCTATGTTTCCAGAGTCGATTCTTGGCTACCGCCGAAACAAATGCCAGAAGCCAAAGAAATACACGTCGAATCTCCCATTCGGAACGGAACCCACTTTCCTCAGTTTGAACTTGGGATAGGGGGCCCTGTGGCGGTATTTGATCCTCCAGAGTCTTATTGGGGGCTAAAATCTCCCTCGGGCGGTGGTGGTTCGACGTATAAGGTGACCACTGGTCTAGTTTACTCGAGTGAGGAAGAAATTGCCACTCGTAATTGGAGCAACCCTACCACGGGGGTCGTGCACACCTTCCAGTGTGGACACTGGGGCAACTGGCAGTTTCAGGTGGCGTCGAGAGACATGGAGAGCCGGACCATCTACTTTGACACCGGTGGCTACCAGGAAGCAAGAGGCTGTGGGTCCGGCGCCGAGTGGTACGTGGAGAACATAATGGAGGAATTGGACGCACCAAACGAGTGGTTCTACGACGAATCAAAGAAAGTACTCTACTATTTCCCTAACTCATCGGTTCTCCCTGAGGCTGGAATTGGAACTGTGCTAGATACCCTCTTTGCCGTCCAGGGAACGTCCGATGAACCCGTTACACAAGTCACGTTTGCCAACCTCACGTTCGGCTACACTGCCTCGACTTTCCTGGAAAAATACGAAGTCCCCAGCGCTGGAGATTGGGCAATCCACAGGGGAGGGACCGTATTCGTAGAGGGAGTCGACGGATTGCTCGTACAGAACTGCCTCGTCTTTTCTCCGGGCGGAAATGGCATCTTTCTCAGCAACTATGTCAGGAATGCGGTAATTGAGGGAAATGAATTTGTGTACACTGGAGACAGTGCCATTGCAGCTGTCGGGACGGCGTACCTGATTGACGGAACGCTCGGAAGCCAGCCCCGAGGGACGCAGATTTTGAGCAACCTGGTCCACGAGATTGGAATATGGGGCAAGGAGACTTCGGCCTACTTTCAGAGCCTCGCCTGTCAGACTACGCTCGTGGGAAATGTCTTCTTCAACGGACCGCGAGCAGGTATAAACTTCAATGACGGTTTCGGCGGGGGTAACCTTCTGAAAAACAATCTACTTTTCAACATGGTCCGAGAAACTGGCGACCACGGGCCCTTTAACTCCTGGGACAGGCAGCCATATCTGACAGAGGTCGGGAATGGTATACCCTCCCTTACTCCCGCCCAGAACAACATAACACTCAACTTCATCATCAACAACTACCACTCAACCTGGCCACTGGACCACGACGATGGATCCTGCTATTACTACGATACATACAACTACCTCGTCTACGGAGGCTACAAGAACTTTCTGGGACACTCAAAGGTAGTCAAGTACAACTACTACATTTATCCCGATGTTGATTTGTCAGGGCAGGAAAAGTTGGGAGCGTTCTTTCAAAAGCCGTACTGTGCAAATAGCGACGGGGCTTCGAGAGACACTTTACCGTCAGGATGGGGTGAAGTTTGGGCCAACAACACGTGCATTATCGGTAACCCAAACATCTACGAGTTCAGCAGCTGCACTCCAACGGGTGACAACACTGGACTGATACCGCTTACAGGCAACAACACTTTCTTTGCCCCCAATGCCTACATCTACATCAAGTGCAGCGACAAGAATCTGTCGTTGGCAGAATTTCAGTCCTTGGGCTACGACATAGGGTCCGTAGTACATGACCCAGCCAGTGATTCGACAATCATTGACTGGGGACGTAACCTCCTCGGAATATGAGAACAGCATAAAAGAACAGCATAAGCTATAAATGTTTAAGAAAGTAGTATGTGGAACTGCTAGTAGTAGTGTAGCAACAACAGTTTAACTGTAGTTTGCCGGCACATGAATGACACGCATAAAATTAACTGACAATGAGAAACATTTGTGGCGGAGAAAGTATATAATCGTTGATATATAGCCACAATGTGCATCACTATTGTATGACGGTGCTTAGTGCTCGAATACAAAGCAAAACTCAAATAGCTCAGTATCTATCATCAATGCCTTCTCCAATGCTTTCATCGTCGCTGGCTGTCGCCCTACTACCATCTCCCCTATCCTTCCTCAGCGGTATCTGTAATGCAGTGTGAACAGCTTCAATTGTCTGGGCATTGACGTAGTAAGCCATGTTCACGGAGGGCATGTGCTGATGCATCTCTTCCATCAGACGGTATGCCTAAATGCATTTTGGTGGGTATATAGCTTTAGCATTATCGCAGCACAAACACATCACAATTCACGAGAGAGATGTATGGTAGCTATATATATACCTCTCTGTAGTGTTTGGCTTCAGCAAAGTGCTCAATGAGAAGTCCGTATACGTCTCCAGTTCTAATGGCCGTGTCCACTTTGGGTTCATTCAGAAGAGCCTGACACTCTTGAACACACGCTTCAGCATCCCTGGCATACAGTCTGCATCACAAATGTATGTATAAACTAAAGCTCATACAGATAGACGAAATAGTATAGAGTGGATTATCTGGGATACTATAGCATTAGTTCCTCTGAAACGGACACTTCTAGTTCTTACTAACTTTCTAGCATCTGCAAATCTTTTGACAAGTTGAAGTCTTTCAGTTAGAAATTTGACTCTTGCTTCAATGCCTGTTGGATTCTTGGACTTGGCCTTGTTTAGGCATTTGAGTGCCTCGTTCAGAGCTCCTTGGGCCTTTTCATAGTCCTGATATTCGTCTATTTCCACCTAAATAAACACTATTAGCATTGTGGAGCATGCAGTAAATCTTGCTTGTACCTGAGCACATGTGTCATAGAAGCTGGCAAGGGATTCTAATGCTCTTCCCTTTGTGTAGAAGCTAATGATGTTCTTCATTATGTCGGGGTCTTTTCTCCAGTCCAGTGACTGGAGGTAGTTGGCGGCCATTACGTACACGTCTCTTTGTCTTGAAACCCCCGCAAAGAAGACTATCTTCTCCGTGTCACCGGATTTCAGTAGGGCCTTCATTGCCTGTAGATAAGTGAAATGGGTAGTGGAGTGTGGGGCAAGGCTTAAAGAGTGTATATGTATTTACCCTCGTTTTATTGCCGGCTTGGGTGTGCTTCTTGGTAGCTAGATGATAAGATCCCTGCTCTGCACAACAGTCTCCCAACTTCTCTAGTAGCTTTACCCTCCTTTCTGCTTCCTCCGCACTCTCTGAAAAACACACACAATTGTACCAGTTGATCTTCAATTGCTTATTACTCCTATATTATACCGTGGCCTGTTTTCTGAAGTGTCATATTTTCAGCCATGTCCTCTGTGATGAGAATGTTGTGGGTCGTGCACATGTCCAGGGCCTCTTCGATCTGCTTGGTCTTGATCAGTAGCAGAACTGCTCTTTCGTAATGGCCACTCCCTGACAAAAACTCTGCCACCTTCAAATCAGTCATCAAAATGTGTGCTGTTATTGTTCAGCGTGAAAAGTGTGTAAAACCTTTTCTTAACGTTTATGAGCTAGTATTTAAAATCCTACTAGGCTATGATGCACGGTCATTTCATAATGAAGCAGAGAACTCACCCTAGCAATCATTACTGGACTGGTGGATTCAGTCAGGTCGTCTGCTATCTGGTACAGCACATCATACTGCTTCAGTTGGAAACAGAGTTCCAGTGCACGAGACATCTCACCAGCCTGAGATCAACAACACACACAGTCAGTCCAGTCCAGGGCTAAATTGGAAACCTAATTGCATTCTTGGATTGGGCCGTATATTTTAGCCCTTATGTGCTGCCATGTTCCCTTAAGTACGTATATAGGACGTCTGACCTTGTGATAGAGTATGATAGCTTTATCTTGGGTGTCTGGGCTCTGCTCATAATGCCTGGAAGTACACATTATGTAGACATATTTACGTAGCATTCATTAGGAGGTTCTGCTAACTTTGCTGCCTCTATCATGTCTTCTTGAGAGCTCAGCAGTGCAAGTTTCATCAGCTCGTTATCCAGACCATGCTCCTGCATAATAAAGTACTCACTGTAATCACGACTCTGTGTGTTTTTCCACCACCTTTGCTAGTTGAATGGCTGGGCTATAGCACTGAGCCTTGGTGTAGAAGTGGATGGCTCTCTCCACATCCTACAGTCAAAGAAGTCTCACAACATTGCAGATGCTCACGTCAACACTGTCACACAAACCTCTTTCTCCGTACGAAGTCTGCTTGCCAGCTGGTAGGCAGCAGCCCTGGACCCACTCTCTTCCACAATCTCTGCTGCCTTCTCGAAGTTGCCATAGGAGCAGAGAACTCTCACCAGGCTGGGGAAATCCTTGGCCACCTCATAGAACTGCAGTGCTTGGTCGCATTCCCCAAGACTCTCCAAGTAGCCAGCCCACCACTTACACACCTCACTATGTGAAGATATACGAGCCGTAAATGGACCTACAGACTTCATGCCAGACAGATAGTGTGGGCCTTCATCACTACACGAAAGATATACAAGCACATAAGGCTTCTATGGAAATCAAGCATGTTATAAAAAACATTCTCTTTCTAGGATAGAATTTCAGAGGGAAATTAGTCCCTTATGGGCCTCCATACATACACATCCCATACACATGTGTTCCTGAGCATAACGAAAAGCACTAAGGCAAACCCTCGGCACACACTGTGGAACCCATACACAAGTGTGGCACCACCACAATTGATGGTCTTGACCATGCATAAAAAAGAACAGCATGTTATGCACTATTTCCATGGAAAAATGGCCAGCCCCATTTCTGTTTGAGGCCCAAAAAATATATAAGGTTGAAAAATTGCCAACCTTTCATCTCTCTATTAATTTTAGTATTACCTGTGGTTTGTTTAGTGAAAAAAAAAACCTAAGGTTGAAAAAAATTTTTTAAACGGCCAGCCCTTCATCTCTCCAGACAGACGTCTACGGACGTAGTGCAATGCCGAACTGTACGCTGCCCTTTGAGAAACATGGGTCAGTGGTAGATTTGTGGGTAAGGGGAGGTACCAGAGCTGTTCCCAGCCAATGCTCTGGACCATCTGACATTTTAGTGCGGGATCGGGATACGAACCCGCACCTATGGTGTCAGTCCCCACGACTCTAACCACCTAGCCACTCAGGCTGGCCTGGAGAGGTGATGAAAAAACGTTCCATATATACCAACAGCCAACACTCCTATATATTACATCATTGTAAAAAAGGCGCACACACCCGGGATCGAACCAGGGATCTCACGATCAAGAGAGGGGGTGCTTATCCATCAGACCTCCACCATTACTTGAATGAGAACAGTGTAAAAGTGCAAACCCTAGGCGAAGTAGCTCTCAGAGAGTCTGACACGGGCTAGCTACAGTAGTAGATAGCACGCGAGAGTCGATACACGCCATTCGTTGTGACTTCTTGTGCCTTCAAGATAGACAGAGCAAGCGGACCCGGTCGAGCTAAATATAAGCGCATGCGCATTATCCGCCAGCGGACGACTACCGGCATTAGCCATACAATGCTGGAAGCGCTCTAGCTCTGCAACGGTTCATTTTCAGAGAAAACCCCACATATTGTCTGACCCTCGTCGCCCGTTGGGTAGATGGTATCGTTTCTGGGACGAACAGACACCCGAGAAGTGAGATTGAGAGTAACAGACACACACACAGACAGTATATACCCTCGCTGCGCATGCGCGCCGAGGGTAAATAAGAGATTTACGTGTCATGACTCCTTATGACGTAATCTTCCAGCTCTTGTGGACTGTCAAAGAGCATTCGAGGGACCTGCATGTGGTGGGTCCCTGACTTTGTGTAGCAGTTGATGGCCACCTTTGTTTCTTCCTCAGCCTCTGCGTGGCGGGCGTAGTTGAAATATGTTGTCTTGAGATGCATGCGGTCGCTGTGCTCAGCTTCTTCTATTGCCTGGAGCCGAGCAGAGTCAATAGTTAGGAGTAGTGTTCCCTACCTCCCATGTATACTAACTGACACTGGATGATAGTGGCCAAACTAAGAGGAGCAGTTTCAGGCAAATTTGCCGAATTCAATGGCCGTCGAAATTTCTGGTGTTAAGGATGGTTTACCTTTTCCCACTGTCCAGAAGCCTGATAGAACTTGTTGAGGAGATCATGGCGTCCACTCTTCTTGTACAGCCTCTCGGCTTCATTCTAGTGAAAAGTACAGTCTAAATGCACACATACCACAGAGTATAGGATCTGAGAACACTACCAGCATGTTGAGGTGTACGGCCAGAATAGCTAGTCTTGCTTCCGGTTGTGGAATGCTCTTAGACTCTCTCACGGCCTTGGCAGCCATGGCGTTTCCCATGTTGCCGAGACAGACGGCTGCCACGTCCAGTTGCTGCGTCCGGACACACATCCGAGCCATGCTCTCCCAAACCTTCTCACTGCATCGCAATCAATAACAGAAGAGATACACTACGTAGATGTGAATGCAGCACATAATTGGTGAGTGAATGCGAGCAAACAAATACAAATCACACAACTCAGATGACCAGATGGGCTCGCTTCGCCCGCCAATAAAGCGTCTCAAGGAACGCGGGGTTACCTTTTGATCAGTTTTATAGCTCTGAAGGCTTCATCCATGTTCCCAAGTGCCGAGTGGAAGCTGAAATCGGCCATCGCTTTGAGTGTGGTTGTCTCGCTTGTTTCAAGACCGACATAGTCTTTCATGGACGGCCTTGCCACAGTCGCCAGCTCACGTTGTGGGGAAGTGACGGAAGTGGGGGCTGCTGTAGGGATCTGATGAGCAGCGAATGTAGACTTGCTCGAAGCTCAGATTTGCTCAATGATTATAAGCAAACAGTATCATAGAGTATGTATGTAACCTGGGTTCAATCTTGCTCTGATTATAAGCAAACCTGCCATAAGCTATGAATAGCATCATTATATGTAACTCAGGTTAACCATTAGCTGGGCAATATCTTCGTTTTTGTATATAGGCATTCTGAATGGTTTGTAGAGAGCACTGTTCAGATATACAATACCTTCTTTGTGCAGCAGATGTATGGAATGGATACTCCAACCACTCCGGAATGACCAGGATCCAGTGGTATGACATCGCTGATCACCACGTTCAGATCAGGTGCCACAAACACGACGACAATAATCGTGTTGGTCTGTCGGAAATGGAAAAAGTTATCGCCCAGAGAAGAAAGGGATAATTATTCACATACTTCTCCAGTGCTTCTCCTCTTGTGCTTCATACTGCTAACATCTGTTGAGGCAGAAGCTGTCAGAACCAGAAGGCGACTGTCCTCGGAGTCCCAGTGGCCGTCGCAGAAGGTTCTCTTGCCGATTGCACGGCAGAGCCGCTCCTGTTCTTGCGCAACGGACTCTGGTAGCTCGGGTGGAAGAGCCACGAGGGAAAGGGGAGAGATTTTGCTGGTGGAGGTTGAAGACGAGGTCGAAGAGGAAGGCTGGACGGAGAGGGAAAGGGCTGACGGGATAAAAATCTTCACATTGTCTGTCTCTACTTCCCAGAGAAGTAGAACTTGTGTTGGTGAAGAAGAAGAAGAAGACGATGATGCCTGGACAAAACAGAGCTTTAAGCGTGAGAGATGAGACCTATGGATCTCAAACACCTGTTGACAGAGGATGCTGACGTGACTACCGGTGGAGTTCACCTCTACCGAGACTATTTCCAAGTCTTCGGGCCCATTTTCGAATAGGTTTCGTCCTTCGTGAATCCTCGCTTCCCTGCAGTAGCAAAGATAATAATATGATATCCTACTATTCCTGGAGTATGGTTGTATGCATGTACATACCTTCGACTGAGGTCCCATATCTTCACCAGGCCACGATCAGTACCAGCTGCTAGGAAGTGTCCTGACACAGTCAATGCAATGAAACGCCCCTCGTGTTCTCCACCGGAGAGCACTTGTTTTACTGTTCCCTGCAACAGATACGAAAGTATACTCTGTGTATTTATCGTCCAAAACAGAAGAATATCCATATCATGTTCTTTTCAAACAAAGACTGTAACGTATGAATGAGGAGTGCCAAGCACGCGTATAATTTCAGAAAATCCACACCACATATATACTGATAGACAATACATTCACATGTAAAATATTGGTTACTAGCGTATCACAGAACTTTGGGATACTGTTTACCTATGATACAAGAACCATGGAAACCTTGTGGCGGATTCCCCCTGTCGACCCTCCTAAATATTTTAACCTGATAAATTGAGAAGCCTTAAATTTTGTTCCTTGGTATGCACGCCATGCTCATTGTCCCCCCGCAATGTTCACTGTCTCTACTGATTGACGGCTCTGAAAGTAGGTGTGGCATACTTGGAAAGTGCGGATCTGAATGCCATTCTTTTCTGCAGTGAGGACGCTCATGTCGTGGATGGCTGCAGCAGTAGTCTTGGTGGCAAATGACCCTAAAGCGACACATTAAACACCACGCACACATATACACAGCTTTCCTCATGGGGCCATAATTAAACAGACCTACGACTCTTGTTTGTTGTTTGTCCTGTGAGAAGCTAAAGACCATCAATTTTTTCCCGCTCCAAACAGCAACATGCTCCTATGGTAATTACGTGTACGTACGTCAAATTCAGTCATTCAGTATCATATATACTGATTGATACCTTGGTGACCCAAGCCCCTCTAATGGGTATGTCGGTGCTGATGGAGTGTAGGAGGCCTGTGTTATGACACTCCACCAGCAGCTGAGCTGGAGCCACTTGCACTGCAGACACCTCCTGCCCATAGTGGACCTTCGTAGTTTGCATTGTCAGGATCCGCATTTCCTTCCCACAATTTGCACCCAGGACACCTTTATTTGAGTCCCACTGATAAAATTTGAGTGGAAACAGTAATAAAAAAAGAGTTAATGGAGTGATTTGAGGCACACTTTGAGTTGGACGAGTGGTCCAGGTAGTTTGGTGGTGGCTGTCAGTTCCCAGTAATCAGAGAGTGAGTCGTGATGGGTGCCTGTGTCCCCACTGCCTCTTTTCTTGGTGGTGGGTGGAGGATTCCAGGACCACATCACCACTCCTCCACCGCTTGTCCCTGCCGCTAGAGTGCCTATAAGGTTGTATCAACCCACAATGAGGGAGCCTATATGTAAGAAACTGTTGTTTGAGTTTTTTTTTTATGTGCATGCAGGTATAAATGCCTATGTCTTAGGATGATAGGAGTTGAATACATGTATTTGGATAGAATGCATGCAGTTACGCAAGGTCTATAGGAGCTGACTGGTGTTGGAGTTGTAGCTGAAACATGTGACAATCTCAGAGCCAGTGCTGATACCCAGAGTGTAGTTCTCTCCTCTGTCAAAGTCCCACAGCCTGCAGCAGCCACAGAGCCATATACATACCATACACCACACATATTATCAGTCATACGTTGCACGTGTAATACGTACCTCACAACTTCTTCCCCAGCACACGATCCCAACACTTTCTCATAGGTCCAATCCAGGCACGTCAGTTTTTGTCTCCCACTCAGTTTAGCCTGAAAGATACGCATGCAATTGCTCAACTACGTGTTAAAATGGGGTTTTCAACGAACGTTCATAAGAACTGAGGTCTCTCCCAAGCTGTTGATGGAGTACTGAGTGAGCATCATTTCGTTTGTAACGACAGCCAGTGTTGGCCAGGTTGGGTGAAGGCAGAGGAAAAGAGGTTTTCCCTCAAGTTTGCCTCGTTCAACGTGCTCCCCTCCCTCCTGAAGGTAGTGCAGTACACCTGTGTGTGTGCGTGTGTGCGCGTATGGGTGAGAGCTGTTGTAGAGGTTTTGTAAGTGTATATGTACCCAGCTCACCGTTGCTGGTGCAGAAGAAGGCATTGAAAAGGTCTGCTGTGCTTGAATTCCTGCCTTGCCAGCTGTACGTCTCGAGTACACTCTCGCTCCTGCATCGTCAGGTGACCCAGAAAGAATTACACTACTATTACCAAACATTAACTCTGATTTTGACATGATTGCAGGAGCAATTAATACTAATGTGTTCAGGTAGTTTTACCAGACAGCTAGAACATGTGCACAGCACGTTGCATTCATAGCCTTGTTCCCAGACTTACAGAGTGGTTGTACTTCTCCTCCGCCTTCAGCTGACCCACATGTGCACGATGAACATACACACACTGGCAATGAGACTAGCCACAGGTCAAATGTATACTAGCTGCTGAACTGGAATGCGGAAACTATATTAGGGCTGTTTACCGCTGGACATGGAGGACACAGTGGGTGAGTGGTGCTCTCATGCGATAGTGATGGAGAGGTGTGGGATGAGGTTGCCCCTCTTCGTTAACACTCCACACAGCCATTACACCACCCTTGGGAGGATGAAGAGAGTTTTAAACAATCAACAAAACACGCTCCTGTTTCTATAAACCTTGTCTCCTGAAATCAATCTTCTCCCTGTTGTGTTCCACACGAGAAAAACCAGAGGCTTCTTGTGAACGTTTGACTGTTGGAACAAGTCGTGTTCTGAGAGGCTGAAGATGGTGATCTCCCCACTCCTCCAGCCTACGGCCAGGATGGGTCTCTCGGGGTGCCACGTCAGGCACTCCACTGGCGTCGGCCGCTGGATCTGTGCATCTTTCACCAGGTCTCCCTGTGTACGTATCATGTATGCAGCGGTATGAAAAAGTAAAGCAAGGGCATATCAGCAAAACCTAGGACAACACCCTTTTTTCCTGCTCGTAAGATGGAGGTTGGACCAACTGTTTCAATGGGTGGGATGGGACAGTACGATTTTTAGCTAGCTATGTAGCTATGCATTACTATGGTAATTTCAGACCATACGTATATAGCTACTGGAGTAAGTTTCAATCGCGTACTGCCAGGGGCTACTACTTACTGCAGCCTTCAGCGCCCTAGGCACAGGCCTGGGACAGCTATCTCCACCGGCCAACAACCTAATGCTCACGTGCTCCGTGTGAATGTGCACTGCCCCATGGGAATCCTTGGCCTCGTCTTTGGACGCGACCGCTAGCAAAGGCTGCGAAGAGTGCCATTCGAGAAGATGCGGGGACCTGTCGCCTTTATTCGAAGGGCTGTGCAGTCGTCGGTCGAAAATTACCGCCATTTTTGTTAGTGAGTTACCATGGCAATAATAGTATTTCAGTCGCAGAGGGGTTAACATTGCTGACTCAGCGCTCAACAACATGGCACAAGAAGGGCACGATGACTATTGCCTGCAGAGCTACAGCTACAGGTTCAGCCCCACGTTGCTGGAGGGCAGAGTTGCCTTCATAACAGGAGGAGGGTCTGGGATAGGGTTCAGGATTGCTGAGCTGTTCATGAGGCACGGCTGTGACACAGTCATAGCCAGCAGAAACCTCGGGAAACTTGAGGATGTGAGGAGATATGTGTGTGTTTTGTGGGGTGTTGCCCACTCTTTCAGAGTGTGTCTATCTGTTAGGCTGCTGAACAGTTAACAAAGGCTACCGGAAGAAAGTGCTTGACGTACCAACTTGATGTGAGAAAGGTTGGAGGTTTGCATGATCCAACCAAACTTGCAGTTTGTCACTTACTCCTCTTCATGTAGTACGACCAGATATGTGATGTCGTCAAGACTTTGCTGAAAAACTTCCAAAGAATTGATATCCTTATTAACGGTATTAGCCCCACCTAATTCCTCCCTGCCATGTGTAATAACCCTTCTCCTTTTCTCTTTCGTGTCACATAAAATTCAGCTGCTGCGGGTAACTTTCCTGTGCCCTGCTGCCTCCCTCTCACCAAAGGGATTCAAAACAGGTGTGTTTTGCACGACCCCTGCATTACTCGCTTGCGTGACTCACACCACCCCGCACAAAGCTAATCAATCTGATTTGATTTTTCCTTTCCAGTCCTCGACATTGATACCGTAGGAACGTTCAGTGTAACTCGAGCTGTGTACGACCTATGCTTTAAGGTATGGAACGTGTGTAGCTTAAACTCCATCTATCATCAAATATTTGTCACCATACATAAGTCTCACACTCCTGTATAGTACGTATATCCTATAGCAGCTCAGATACATGGTGACTTAGTAACTCACTGTGTTGCGGTGACCATTTATTGGCATTATGTCATGTGCCATGATATGCACACTATGATATAGGAGCAAGGCGGTGGAGTGGTAATCAATATCACAGCCACCTTGCACTACACAGGAACTGTGCTCCAAGTACATGCTGGCTCTGCTAAAGCTGCCGTCGGTAAGAAAACAGTCTTAGAACCCAAGCATGTAACTTAGTTATGTGGGTTGGTGCCTTGCTCACGGGTACTATTGGCTATTTGTACAAAGTCAGCCTTAGCATGTAGTATAATTATAACATCACCTAATGTAGAAATTTCGCCTATGCGTCTTCTGTTGTAGTGAATTTCCCATTGTGGAACTGCACAGCATTCTACCGTATATTTAGCAGGACAATGTCAAGTAATGCTAAAAATGTCACACAACGTCAACACTGAGCTATTCATCTGACAAACATGCCACGAAGGGAGGGTTTGTAATGTGTATTTGTGACCCAGATGCGATGACGCGTCACCTTGCTGTGGAGTGGGGCCCACAAGGAGTCCGCGTGAACAGCATAGCTCCTGGCCCAATTGCAGGCACTGAAGGAATGAGAAGATTAGGTGAGGGAACTTATACGCAGTCCACTTTTACTTGCTTACCTTCTTGAGCTCTCTCTCCTCCTTCACCGTCTGCAAATTATTCCGTAGTTTGTATAACTTTTCCATATTGCGCCTCTTACACATGCCGTTTGTTGTAATACTTGCCAACCAAGCCTTCTTGGGCTCTTTCCTCCGAGTTCTTAAGATTTTCACCCGTAAAGCATGTAAGAAATACAGATGGATGAATGGGCTCTGGATTGGGCTAGTTCGAGGATGCGCCCGGTGGGCTCTGTGTACAACAACTCCTACAAATTGCCCGGGGATTCCTATTTTATTACCCAATCTCCATAATTATGGCCGGTGTATAATTGACACAGTGCCCTATAAAGTTATTCCATGGGGGATTGTGTAAATGCTGAAGTATACCCATAGTGAAGTAATAGCTGTTTTTCAGCCAACCCTATATATGGATGCAATATCTCCTATTTCAGGCCTTAAAAACAAGCTAGTTAGTGCACAATATATTGTAACGTGGGAGTACAGGAAACATTGGGCGTACGTGTGTGTAGATGGAACAATAGCAGTCCTTATTTATGGCGTACTCTAAGGGCTAGGGCTAAGTTAGGAAGATTAATATTTGGTAGTACGATGATGTCTCCAGTAGACTGATAGGATTTGGACCCTTCATTCACAATAACACTGCAAAGCTATTTATTATGCAACTGTGTGTTTGGGTCAACCAAAAAGCTTTTCTCTGACCACATCAGGTGGGGCCACTAGTGCAGCAAGGGAGTTTCTGCAGCAGCAAATTCCGCTCCAGAGACTGGGTACACGGACAGACATAGCCGAGGCAGCTCTCTACTTGGCCAGCGATCTCTCGTCCTACGTGACGGGATCTGTGCTGGTTGTGGATGGAGGAGCGTGGATGACTAGTGGGATGGACCTAGATACAATGGCCAACATACACAGCAAACTCTAGCTCTTTAACGATATTCAATTACGTGTGTTTTCTTGAAAATCGTGTCTGATACTGTTGAATATGTAGGTTTTACTCTTTCTATAATATACGTGTGAAATTTTATCGCTTCTTGGCAAATAATATCAATGCAAGTGTGTCTGTTTTGCAAACAGTTCCCGTGTCTGTACGAAACGACACACAATACTGACACTCAGCTAGCAGTGTTTTGATATCTCCCAGAGACGTAGGGTGTGTGGGCTGTTTAGTTTACTGACTCCAGGACCCTCTAATTTCACCCATAATGACGATCCGTGTACAGATTCCAATGGTATAATCTCACACCTCAGCCCCCATCTCTGCAACAGAGCCCACAAGCTGCGGTTGGAACTGTATAAACATGAGGTCACTATGATGTAATGGTGATTAAATTCTATGTGTTACCTTCTTTCTTGGTAACTGGTCCAAAACTTGCAGTGTCGGTTCTTATCCATGAAATAGCTCACTGTCGCAAGGATATCTTCGAAATCTGTTTTAAACAATGGTACAAATTTCAAACACACTAAATCAGTGAACTGGAAATAATAATGACTGGTTAGTCTTGTGCAGTATTAAGTAAGATGGCTATGTTGGGTTGGGTGCGTGATGTAGACTTGCAGTTGCCTTACGTACCCTGTGATGAATTTTGATACCCAGCAGGTGCCACCATGAAGGTTTGGGTTTGCTTTTGGCCTTGCGTTGTATGGCATAGACTTTGCCTGCTGGTTGCTCACTAGTCATAGAACGACCATCTAAGAGTGCATAAAACAGGCTTTTGTACTAAAACACCCAGAACTCAAAAGAGGGTTGATGTTCAAACTTGTCCTTCAGAGGTTCTCTGTGTACCTGCGGAGTCATAGAAGCAGTCTGAGGCAAGTAGTATGTCCTGTGGTGGCAGGTCTAGGAGCTGTGGGGAGAAGACACCCCAGGAGAGCGGGAGGATCTGGACACGAGAGTCAGGGATTCGATTCAGATGACACGTTTGCCTCAGGGCTGCCGTGAGCCTCTGGCTGGTGGCCCTGTCTGTGAGGGTAGTGAGGCGTGCCCCGACCTTGGCAGCCGTGATACCTGGCACTGCTGTTCCTGCTCCAAGCTGCAAATGAAAGTTAAAGACACTCTGTATAGCTAAAATCTATTATTTTCACCCATGTTTTGCTCACCATTATTCAACACACTCTTATGAGTTTTCGGGGCATTTTTCTGAGCCAGTGCATAACACCTTCTCCTGGGCAGACTAGACTGCAACCCCAAGCACCCCACGGATAAATTCCTCGCATAATTTGACAGCAGTTGGGCACATTTTATCGTGGGTTTGGGAGGAGGGACGGTGTTTTCAATTCCCCTTACAGTGATTATGATTATGATCTCATTGTTAGATGTTTCATTAACACCTCATAATCTGTGGGAATTTCATTCACCCTGCCACCAAATTGGATAGTTATATATATATATATATATATCTCAGCACCATCTGTTACACATGTCGATTTAATCGTTCGGTCACATCCCAACTGTTGGTCTGTCATCTTGCCTTGTTAACATTGCACAATTTGTGGGAATTTCATTCGTAGTGGACCTGCCTATTTTCTTCACTACATAACTGCAATATTGGTGTAGGCTCTGTTTTTTCAATGCACTCTACTTTGCCAGAAAAAAGGTGAACGTGGGGTGTGAGCTGTGCTCACCTCCAAAACACGCTTTCCTTTGACAAACTCCCTGCGAGTGTGTATAAGATATGCCAACTGTGGAGCACAGGGCCAGGTATACAGACCATAGTCCCCTTCTGCATGCTACGAGGTAAAGAAAAACGGGTACGGATGCAATGAAAAGGTGTAGAAATAGCTATAATAATACCTCAATAGTTTTTACCACCAAAGGCTGCATGACGAAACCTGCGCATGCGCGCTGTTACATCACGTGTAAGGTTCGAAGGTCTAGTCTATGGCGCGCAAAATGTAGAGAAATTCTTCAATCGTCTATATATCAGGTCAACTAAGAATGTTTCTATGCTGGCTACCTACTTCATAGACAATCCAAGCCTCCTGTGTATTTGCCCCGTGTTTGCGTAATTCCTGTAGCTAGCAGCATGCCCAAAGGCATTTTGCAGGTAATCCATCGCCATTTTCGCACTCACTCTCCCTCCTGTCAGTTTTTTTAACAGGCAGCCGGAGGAAGACTGGCGACAGTGTGTCCTCTGATGTGCTGTCTTAGCCACAGACTGTTGTGCGACAAGACCCCCCCCGGGAGTTATCGGAATGCCATCTGGAACACTGGATGATAATAGTTACATTATTAGTGTCTGTGCATATAAGTGTATAGGTCCTGGCAGTGTAGTATTATACTGGATTAAGGATTGCGGTACTCTTTCTGTCAGTTGGCTAAAAGTGATCAAACGACTGCTCAGTATAATAATATACGCAGTAGGCTACAAATTGCATCAATAGATTTCTCTTAGTACCAACCACCATCCAGTCTGCGTGTGTATGTTTGTGCACTGTGTATATGGACGTGTAATTATGACGGTATGTGCACACAGGTATATGATCGCAGTGTGAAATATCCGTGTGATTTTGTATCAGGCATTATGGCTGTGCACCAGAGCCTATCACAAAAGGCCAAACCAATGGTGCAGATTACTCAGCTTTCATTTGCACTAAAAAATAAAGGGTTCTGACTTGTTATTAGTGCTTCAGTCATGATGTGTACGATCATATTGCCACTGCCATCCATTCCCATGACTATGAAACTGGAAAACGGTGTCACTTTGCAACTCCAATGCTAAATTTTTGTAACTCCCGGTACAATGATTTCTGAAAGTCACTGGCTTCATATATTGTTATTGGACTTACCTACGTACGTAGCATGAAACCAGTTGTTGCAGGTTTTCTTCATGTAAAAAAGTGTGAGCTGTTTAGTTTTCATGATGACAATTTATTTTGTTCTTGACAAATGGGGGAAACAAAGCTTAGGGCTGTGTGTTGAGAGTGGACGTTCTTATGCAGTTGTCAGAGATGGGAATCTAGTCGAATCTCTGAAGTGACTGTAGGTATGGAGATCATCTATACCATGCTTACACACTGGTAATGTCCACCTAACTTTTTAAAGTTGTGTACATTTGTGGCACTAAATGCCTGTATTTCCTCTCACATACTCACAAAAAGTACGAAGACTTTATTCCACACCAACTATTTAGGCCACTCAATTTTTCACGATGACTTCTGAGGGTGGATTGCGCTGCAATCTCCAGCTATAGCCTACGTGTTTAAAATGGTTTGTTGGCCTGTATTTCCTCTCACATACTCAAAAAAAATACGAAGAGTTTATTCCACACCAACTATTTAGGCCACTCAATTTTTCACGATGACTTCTGAGGGTGGATTGCGCTGCAATCTCCAGCTATAGCCTACGTGTTTAAAATGGTTTGTTGGCCTGTATTTCCTCTCAGATACTCGCAAAAAGTACGAAGACTTTATTCCACACCAACTATTTAGGCCACTCAATTTTTCACGATGACTTCTGATGGTGGATTGCGCTGCGCTTTACAGCTATAGCTTACGTGTTTAAAAGCATTCTTCAAAAATACAAAGATCAAGGGACAGGTTTATGAGAATGACAGAGCCAAACAAGTATATATCAGAGTTTTAGATATGTGTACAGGTAATGATATGTGTCAGTGTTTTGCTCCTTGCCATCTAATTGGCATTCATGTCGTTCTCGCGTGCATGCACAGACATCAACAGTTAATGCTAGCTCACAGTTCAAAGGGTAGAGCAAAGCATTGTCCTCTTCATTGCCACACCTGGAAACCCCTGACTTCTTCGTACACAGCCACACGCAGGCTGGAATGACCACTCTTTTGTTCCCTGCCGTATCATGTGAGGGATACTGTGGCTTGCGGGGTGTATACTTATTTCAGATTTTCTGCCTCAGGGAATATTGATTTCAGAGTATACGCCCTGTGCTGTAATAGCTACGTACAGAAATGTTCATAGCATTGTCTCATCATTATTATAAATCCTGTTATAAAAACCTAGAGACCTTACTAACATTTTTGTGCCTCATTTGTGCTGTGCATATCACATAGACCTGTGGACACTACGTATTTTAAGGTTGCAGTTTTTGCTATTCACATTGTCACAAAAAAGTAGCTATTCACAAAATGCACTGGGCTTCCAAAATGATAATAGTGACCTCCCATTTAACCCCATGCCCGCATGCAAAATCATCAGCGCATGCGCCATGCGCAACTACCAATCAGGAATGACTGTGCGACTAGCGAGAGCGAGCGCGCAATGGGAGCTTATTTTCCATCTAATTCGCTGCACTCAAAATATAGTTTGATTGACAAATAGGATAGAGCCTCATGGGCAGACATGGTTCGTGATACTATGTGCAGGACGCATGAAGCATCAATATCAAGGTGTATCTGTGGTGCCCATATCCCTGATTTCTGCCTCCGTACAAACCATCTGCAGAAATGGGAGAGTCGGAGACTGTAATAGCGGTATCGGTGAGCACGGTGTGTGTGTGTGTGGGTCTGCCAATATTGCGCCATACTTCAGCCCAGCCACTGCGGTTTCTGGTGTTGTCATATCCAGTGTGCCTAACACTGGATCAGGGAGTGATGTCGGCCCTTTTCGACAGCTTCTCATCTCTCACTGAGCCTGTAAATATATAGCAGAGAGGCATATGCTGCACATACATAACTGTGGCAGGCAGTTTGCTATCGTTTATTCATGCAATATGAAACCATATGAATTAAACAATGCGAAATATAATTACGCGGATGGGATGCTTGTATAGATTATACATCCCTATAAGTAATAGTCTACCATTAGCACGTGCGAATATCTAATGAAATTCGATATCGTCATGCAGACCTTACAAATGTTTTGTACGCACACTTTTTTCATAGTGCGTGTCCTCCCTGGCATTAAGGTGTAGTCCATAAAATGATATGAACACATTCGGTGGTTTTGGAAGCATAATCGGACCGTGAGGTTTTAAACCACAGAATGCTGCTGGCCTAACTCTATTAGCCTCCAACAAAATTCCATCCTTAATTACGTACGCTGGAACCACGCTTATTCCGGCCACACTTGGCCCCTGCAAAGCTGGTTGGATTAGTGAGATGGCTCTACTTCAGGGTAAAGTTGTAATGAGAAACATGCACTGGTTGATCAATCCATGGCAAAAGCCATTGGCCTTGTTTTAGCGAAGTGGGTTCATCTCAGAGGGTTGGGTTAGCAAGGTTCCACCGCATGTACAGGTGGTATAAATTGTGGCCTGAATCACAGAGACTGTAAGACAGTGATAATGCTGGACAGGAAGGGGGGAGAAGGATATTCCATGGCAGCCACACTGTGTTGCTAGACTGCAGTAGTCGATGCAGGAAAAAACAATTGCTGGATAATTCTCAGTCAACCACCTACATAGTATTCCCTCAGTGTCTGCCCACGTAAGATGCAGTTCAGACATTTCATTGCCAACCCCTCATAGAAACTTCCTAGTCATGTGATATATACCAGTCCAGTGGTCCAAGCTATAGAGTCAGCAAACCGGCGTATCATATTTGGGTTCCACTGAAATATATTTTCGTGAGTGATACTGCGCCCTACTGCAGTTCAGACATTCTTTTTGCCTAATTCCTCATTGAAACTTCCTACGCCCCAGCACAGTAGTCCAAGCTAGCACCGGTGAGCCAATGTATATCATGTGGTGCAGCATGTTTCCACTGAAATAGGAATCTTCACTACCTCAAATTGTAGGCGTATTCTTAGCAGTACTTACACATACTTAGCTACATAAGTATTCTTAGCAGATGTAGTTACATACGTCCATACATAGTCTATGATAGACAACACGGGAACGCAACAGGTATTCTGGATAGGTTTCCCAGGTTCTGCCTATATACCCAGAGCAGCATTGGATGGGATGGGGGGGTGTCCTTGAGACTGTTTGCACAGCGTCCCCAGGTTCTGCCTATATACCCAGAGCAGCATTGGATGGGATGGGGGGGTGTCCTTGAGACTGTTTGCACAGCATCCCCAGGTTCTGCCTATATACCCAGAGCAGCATTGGATGGGATGGGGGTGTGCCCTTGAGACTGTTTGCACAGCGTCCCCAGGTTCTGCCTATATACCCAGAGCAGCATTGGATGGGATGGGGGGGTGTCCTTGTTCCTGCATAGTGAGAACTTCTTGCATTCTCTTGGCTAATCCGATACCCTTGTCATAATTATTATCTCATTAATTTCGGATCATATTTTTGTTGCCACTGTCTTACGACCGCTTCATCACGTTTTACAGGTATGTATGCTTTGTACGTACACCTTTGTTTTATCGGATGGTGGCTAATCTAAATTTATAATGTGTCCGCATCTGAAATAAGACTCTTTTGTCTCGCAAAGTGTTGCATATGTTCACTGACTGACCTTTGCATGCTTGGTAAAGCTGCATGGAATGGAAGTTGTACCTTCGGCGTACACAATGGGAAGACTTGGATGTCCACATGCAAAGCAGCGCCGTCTTTTTGCCGTCATGATTTCCATGCATAATATGAAATTAAGCTCACTCCAAGGAGGCATGCAGGAGGGTATATACCCATGATGTACATGAGGGTGGGCCATCCACATGCCTGTCTGCACAGATCAGCCCAAGCTCAGGTCTCTCTCGCATGACTTTGTAGGTGCTAGAAATGCAGGTTCTAGTCTAGCCTGCCCCATTTATCAGGGAAGTATCTCGTGCCATATGGCCTATTGGTCTAGCCATGTGTGTGTGTGTGTGTGTGTGTGTGTGCACAGGGGCATGTGGGGAAAAAACAAAGGGTCCCTTTCGTCTGGGGGTCATTCCTTAGCCCACAGTCTGTCTGGGGAGCATATGGCTCCCTCTATCTCAATGTCAGACTCACGGGACCCCTCGCACACGCAGTGTTTCTGTGCCTCTAGCACCAGTGATATCCTAGCTGTCTCGTGAACCTTGGAACCCTCCTCTATTCCCCCAACCCTATATATGTATGTATGTTGGTGTGTATGTAGGTGTGTACACTGTCTGTTAGTCGTACTATTTGATATTGTTTGTGTGTATGTACGTATGTATGTACTAGTGACTACTTTAAGAGATCCTATAGATTAGCTGTTTGTGATATGGCCGGATGAAATGCAAGTGGGAATTCTATTCTTTGCTCCGAAACTCAAGTGTCTTTTGCTATGTATCTGAGCCATAATTATGGAGATGGCCTGAATATTAATTTTATTTTTTGGTGTGTCTGGCATCTTATGTGGTTCACGCCTTGATATACTGTCCAAGTGACTTAAGGACCTGTAAGTCTTTTTTAAACACACATGCAGCACATACCAGTGGCAAAGTGG